TTATGCTTCGCATACAGCTCAACTAGACATAAATAAACAATGAATTAGTCCTTACTAAAATCGGATCTTGCCTAAATTTTGTCTTGTGCGCCTTTCGCTTCTCTACTTTAGAAACCCTAATCTCAAACATCATCAAGCAGTACTTCGCTCTGTTTCTTCCTCTCTGCATCGATGTATCTCTTTCTTTCAACATTAAATCAGATTTGATTCAAACACCACTCACAACCTCCAGACTACTAATCACCTCTTTCGAACACCTTTTACCACCAGCACACCATCAAATAAAGACTGCAGTTTCACCACTTTCGCCTTTCATTTCTCTCTAAAATACCCCAAAACCAACGTTGGCTTCATCACTAGCTACTTGAAATAGGTGCCGCCTTCTGTGTCTCTTTTATTTGTTATCGTTGCTCCTCTCAAATGATGGCCAAAAGCATTCTATAAAAAAGCCCTAACACAAACATTCTTCCACTGTCTCCGATTCACTTCTAAAGAATTCCAGTCATAAGTAATTTTTTTATGAAGACCTCTACAAGATCCTATTTTCTTTTAACCAATTCAAGGTAACTTCTTGAGACTTGATGCTTCTCACTTTCTCACATCCAATCTTTCTTCCCGACCAAAATACTCAATCTCATGATTTGAGATGTCTCTGTTCTAAAACCTAATGTTGAATTATTGTAGGTATGTGTCTTTTGTTTCCATTCGTATCCGGACCACCATAAGCAACCCTCCTCATGGCTGTCATATCTCCCCACCAACCTACGCTCCCACTTTCAAAATCCATCGACGATCTTGAGAGTTGCAGCCGTTTTCCATTTGGTGGTGTTTGGTGTCATGTGTGCGTGTGTAATGTTTTCTGCTATTTGATGTTGCCTCCCTCTCAAAATCTGAATAGCCATCTTCACCAATTGTAAACAAGGTTTATCTATACACAATCTTTCTGTATCTATGTATATGGATCCAAATTTGAACAACACATGTTTTTCTATGGTGTTGGTATATATTTGATTTTTTTTTCATTTTTGTGGTGTTGTTATAATTTTGAATATGAATATGCAGAAAAATGAAATCAACTGGAAATATAGAGGAAGAAGTTGGTGTTTTTTTTTCTATGGTAAGTTTCTTATAAATGTGTTGAAATGGTTTTGGAGGTGTTTTAACTTTGATAACATTTGTTTTCATTTTATGAAAGATTATTTTTGCTAGAAAACTACACGCTTCCTACTTTGAACATGCTTTTGCTTCCAACACTGAACATTTTCCATATGATAAGATGCCAACATTTTCTGCCAACCAACGCCTAGCACATTATAATCCCCCCAAATGCTAATTCATTTTACTAATTTCATCACTTCCTAACTCATTGATTGGCTTGAAGGTTCATATTGGTATAACTTCGTGGGTGAGAAGGGGATAATCAACTTGAATGGCCACTGCATCCTCAAGTCTTCTTTCTATATCTCTATATATAGAGAAAAAGAACTTTGTGATTTATTTATGTGTAATAACCTTGCTTATAACCAATATAGTTTTTATGTGTTTTTATATTAAAAAAAATCATTTTTTGATCTACCCTTTTGGCAGGAGGCAACCTGTGGATTACCTTAAATTTCATACGTGATAGGTATGTTAAATTTTAGTTATTAAATTTATACATGTTCCATGCTATTAATCATTTTGTTTCACGTAGGGTAATATAAAAAGATTTATTTCTAGAAACGTAGTTTGTCAATAATTTCATTTTGAAGTTTGGAATCAAAAATAGAAAAGTTCAAAATCAATTTAATTGTATCTTAGTTTTCTGAAAATAAATCTTTTAATATCATCCTGAGTATATGTGATATTTTCCAGGTCCAGAATATTACATCTTTCCATTTTGGTCCTAATTTGACCATTTTGTAATGTTTTGGTCCTGTAATGAATAAAAGGACTATGTGACTATGTGTATAAGATTATGTTTGTGTGTGATTGTATGTTCATATGTGTCTATGTATGTGATTGTTTATGTATGTGTATTTGGATTTCCTAAGCAAAAGAAGTTGTTGCTGTCAAAAGTGTTCAATATATTGTTGAAGCCAAACCCCAGGTATATATTTTTTTTCGATTTCATGGTCATGTTTTCTATTGAAGTCATTTGAATTGTATTTTTACACATTGTATAGTCACATAGTTCGTGGATCGCTCTGGTACATGAACGAGGACCTGGAACGTTATTCGCTAGGTTGGATGTATCGGTAGGTAGGTTTATTTCGGTACGTCCCAGTTTTTGGGAAGGCAACGATTGGATCGTAGATCATGGCATGTTCGGCGAATCATGTGACCATGGCTTTGGCAAGGCGGTTTTTAACGATTTTATCTTTAAAAATGATTCCTTTAGCTTACTTTTATGTTTTCTGGTGTTGCCCTTGCTGTGTAATACAGGGGAGGTTTGCATTAACTGAAAAATATATCAAAACTATTTGCATTGTTAGAAATAAGTTGTGATCCACTTTAGATGCCCTTTTAAAGGTATCTATAATAAAAGTTGTAATTGACATATCCATATTTTAACCTTCAATTTATATACATCCTACTGGTTTGGTAAAAGATTGTGTAAGAAGATGGAGTTCTTTATATCCCTATAGTTTATTACGGGTGACATCTTGATTGTGTTTTTAATTAACATGTTCATCTTTAAATGTATTTAAACTTTAGTTAAAGTTATAAAAAAAAAAATTATGTTTCTACTCTTTGTTACTTCTATGTAGTGGTGGCTTAATGGATATAATAAAATACTTCTATATTTTCCTGTCAAATAAATTGCATATGGAATCATCCTCATCAAACCTTTATTGTAAACCAAGATGATCTTTTGCGTACTGGTACAATGAAGAACATAAATTATAAAGTTCACTACTACAAAAAATTAAAAACAAAAAGTACACTGCTATAATTGGTAACACGTTGTTGAAAAAGAAAAAAAAAAGATTGAAAGTAATTTAGTCGGGTGTATAGAGAGATTAGAAGACTACATAAAAGACTTCCAACCATAATATTAAATAAATGCAAATGGTGATGTTTGGCAAATAAATACAAAGTAAAAAAAAATAACTTTGATTTTTAAGTCTTCAAATAAGATTGTGAGGAGAGATTAGATTCGGTTTTCATTTTTTTTTGTCTCTATACATTTACATCTTGATGCATAGGTCAATATTTACATCTTGATTCATATCTTAATGTTTATAAAATAAAACAACATTATTATAGTTTCAACCCAAAACAACAACAAACGTTTTAATTTTAACAAAATTGTTGCACCGTCTTCTGCATTTTCGTACACATGCCTTTGTTGAAAAACAAACCCGTTGAAAAGAGCCGACAATAACCACTAGAATCACTATCGAGCATCATCACCGCCATATTAAATAAACGCAAAGGATGATGTTTGGCAAATAGATACAGAGTAAAAAAAAAAAGCCGTTGATTTTAAGTCTTCAAACAAGAATGTTAGGAGAGATTAGATTGGATTTTCATTATTTTTTTCATTTTTTTGTCTTTATACATTTACATCTTGATGCATAGGTCAATATTTACATCTTGATGCATATGTCAATATTTATAAAATAAAACAACATTCTTATAGTTTCAACTCAAAACAACAACAAACATTTAAATTTAACTAAATTGTTGCACTATCTTCTGCACTTCGTACACCTGCTTTCGCTGAAAAACAAATCCGCTGAAAAGAGTCGACAAAAAACCACTAGAACACCATCGAGCATCATCACCACCACATTAAATAAATGCAAAGAGTGATGTTTGAAAAATAAATACAAAGTAAAAAAAATGATTTTAAGTCTTCAAATAAGAGTGTGAGGAGAGATTAGATTCGCTTTTCATTTTTTTTTTCATTTTTTGTCTCTATACATTTACGTCTTGATGCATACGTCAATATTTATAAAATAAAACAACATTCTTATAGTTTCAACTCAAAACAACATTAAACCTTTAATTTTAACTAAATTGTTGCACCATCTTCTGCACTTCCGTACACCTACATTTGCTGAAAAACAAACCCGCTGAAAAGAGCCGACAATAACCACTAGAATCACTATCGAGCATCATCACCGCCACATTCGCACCCGGCGCTTGGCGCGGGTAAATGGCTAGTGTGTATATATATATATATATATATATATATATATATATATATATATATATATATATATATATATATATATATATATTAACGAACTCATTCCATAAATCTTTTATAGGTTTTATACATAGTGGGAAACATGTTTATTAGGACATCCTTAAGATGTGACCCATTGACATTCTGAGGACAAGTTGTATAACATCATTATCCATTTGTTGTTCTCCATCAAGTTTATCCTTTCTAATTCTAGATGATATGGTTGGACTGGGCCGATTCTTGTATTTTATTGTCATAAATGATGCACTATGTAGTAGTATGATACTATTAGGCCTAAAATTATTACGATAATATACATACACATACAATCACACCATAATACTTTTCTCATTCAAAAACTTTAATACTTTTCATCTTTTTTATATAAAAACAAGAATTACTTTTATGAAAAGTTTCATTTGCAAGTTTCGATCTAGTTACTAAATAACTTTTCCTTTAAGATATTTATGAGATTTATTGTGGGTCTATAAATTGTTCTTAACTTTTATTTGATGAAAAGTTTTTAGGCATCTAATGTAGATATTTAAGCATCAAAATCAAATCACTTAATAAAGCAAAGGGTAAGGGCCATATTGGCATATTTGCCACATTTTCTTAACAAGTCACACCTATTGAATGTCCTTTACAATTTCACCTACAAACTTCAAGGACCATATTTGTTAACCTTAAATACCTTAGGGACTACAAATTAAGAATGCCTATTACCAATCCATTTCCTACTTCTTCCAGACCATGGACGCATCAAAGTATGCATAAAAACTTGTACACTTGCTCGCTAAGAAACCACAAAGCTTCTCAATGGACAAATGAAAACCGTTGCAAAGACATTTTTCAGAGAGTTTCTATGACCAGTCCTTGATAGACTTGCTGTGTTAATAAGCTCGGAGACAGAAACCCTAGGAGCGTGGCCATAGAATGCAGCAAGAGATGGCGTCGGAGGTATCAACGGTCATCGGTATGTTTCTAATGACTTGTAATCTTCCGCTATGATTCTGCAAATTCGTAATTTGTTGTTTACTTGATCTCACGCGGAGGTATTTACTTTAAAGTTGTTTAATCCCTTGGTTTTGAAGATTTTAGGTTCTTAAATTTGTTCGGATTTGTTGAATTAGTGAATGACAGGGCTATCACTTAAGTATTTAGCTGCAGATTCATATAATTTTTGCGATTAATCGGTGGATTCAAGCTATATATATCTTATAATTATCTATATGCTTGTTCTAGTGTATAAACGTTGTTGCTAGACTAATTCTCCATCTTCCAGTTTGGAGTTCTCTTAATGAAACCAGTAATTGAAATTTCAACGAACATACTTGTGTTTTTGCTGCAAAATAACCACTGTTGCAGGGGAAGATGCTAAAAACACTATAGTTTCCACGAATGACCAATTTTGTACTGATTGTGAAGAAGGTAATTGGGTAAATGCTCAAACATATTCAGGCTCTTACCCATTCTTATGGCACAGGGGTACTGTTATTGTGTTATTGTCTGCAATTAGGCAAAAACTCAAAAACAATAGTTCCAAAATCCAATAGAGGTTTAGGTAGAGGAATGTTTGCTCATTCATCAATCATCATAAACAAAACATGATTATCATACTGCAACAGATTATTTTTTTTCTTTTCTTTTACAGAATGGATTCTAATTAAGTGATCATGAAATTGGAGCATATACATGTTGTTGATACATGTTCTAATTGAGTAGTTATTTCTTATATAAACTGTCATGTGTTTCTTTAACTATTCATAATGATTTGTGTTGAATTCAGTTCCTAGGAGCTTTAGATTACTAGAAGAGCTTGAAAGAGGAGAGAAGGGAATTGGTGATGGAACTGTCAGCTATGGAATGGATGATGCCGATGATGTCTACATGCAATCATGGACTGGAACCATCATTGGTCCTTCTCATGTAATCTTTCTCAATTCCCTTTTATTTTTCTGTTATATAAATTTAACTTGATATTATCACCATATAAATCTTATCTAAATCTCATTGATTACATATCTCAGACTGTTCATGAAGGGCGCATCTATCAACTTAAACTATTTTGTTGCCATGAGTATCCAGAAAAACCACCAAGTGTCAAATTTCAATCGCGAATAAACATGAGCTGTGTCAATCAGGAGACTGGTGTGGTGTGTACTATTTATTTTTAGTTTTATATATGACAATTGACTCGATATGTTTTTTTTTTTATTATTATTTTTAAATTAAATAATATGAGAATGGTGTAAAATTTTGTCAGGTGGAACCTTCTCTTTTTCCAATGCTTTCTGATTGGCAAAGAGATTACACAATGGAGGATATTTTGACTCAACTCAAGAAAGAAATGACCTCCCCACAGAACAGAAAACTCACTCAGCCTCCTGAAGGTGTGTGTATTCTGAAACTTGTTATTTCAATTGCGAGGGTAAAATGGTCATTTAGTCTCGTTCTGAATGAATAAACCTTGTGTGTTATGTATAGAGTACTTTATCTTGACAAACATCATTATCCATTATAAACAAATGGAATGCTTCAGCTGAAATTTATAAAAATAACAAAAAACTGCATCATTTAAAATAATTATTGTAAATTTACAAGGAATACATTTAATAAGGTGATGATACTTATAAAAATGGTGTTGTTGCAGGAAATGATGAGGGGAGGGTGGACCCAAAGGGACTAGTGCTAAGGTGTTGTATTCTGTAAGTAAGTAGTAAAGGCATCTGATGCTATTTAATATATGATATGAGATGATATTATATATGATATGGTGTATATAGTTGTTGTTAAATTTTACCTAAATTAACCCAATGTTGGTTTAAATGTAATCATCAACATGTTTAATGTCATGTCCCCATGTCAAAACTCAAAACAATGCCTTTGAGTTTGACTGGATTAATTTAATGTCTTGTTTTGGTAATAATCCTTTTTATCTTTTGTTACTCCTCTTTTTTGTTGTTAATGATTTGAACTGCACAGCTAGTAATTCGAATTCATATTGTTTAGTGCAGTTTTCCTGAAATTAAAATATTTTTGGTTTACATATTCTTAATTTCTTATGCTATTAATGTGATGAAAGAACTGGGGGATATTTGATCATGTTGAGAGTTTTTACTTGGCTCAAAAGGCTAAGGTCAATTGTTCAGATGTGAATTCTAAGTATTTTCACGGAGTCGTTCGATCAAAAGAGAAGACAAATTGCTATTGGAGGTATAATGGTTGATGGTGGGTGGGTTATAGATCCTAGTAGAATGAAGAAATAATTCCATATTTATAATGAGTATAGGTATATAATATTAGGACCATTTAGCCAACTCTTGAATACAAAATGTTCAAGAGAATTACCATAAAAAAACGTTCTTTTCATGATTCACCTTTTTACATGAGAGGAGATTAAGAAAGTTGTGTGGGTTTATAGAACTGATAAATCCCTAGGTTCGGATGGGTGGGTATAAAAAACTTACAAGAAAGATGATGCATTTTAAGGTGGATTTTGAGGAGTCATATGATTAAGCATCGTAAGACTATTTGGATGAGGTGCTTGACGAAATGGGTTTCAGGGTGAAGTGACATGGATGAATTAAGACATATTTGAACTCTTTGATGACTTCTATTTTGATTTATAGCTCGCTTATGGACAAGTTCAAAATATAACATAGTATAAAGTAAGGGTGACAATTGTGTCATGTATAAGTTGACGACTCATAGAAATTTAACCCGGACACAACCTATATAAATATTTGTGTCATCCTTTGACCCTAACTTGAATTAGCCATATACATGTCAACCTGTATAACCCTAATTTTTGCACAGAACCCTAATTTTGGGATTTCGACCCTATTTAAAGTATGCTAACATCCAGGGTGCGCTCTTATCCTAACCTCCATCCTCTTAGCGAAACCATAGCCTCCTATTTTCTTCTCCTTGTGTTCTTGAGTTTTTTTGGTGCATTTTGGTAATCCTTGGTGAGGAAGCAAAGAGTTGGTGTCAAGAAGCTAGATCTAAAAGCATTTAAGCCCTTGAAGCACATTATAGACATTTGTAAGTATTTAAGAGATTTTTGCATTTTGATTAGCAGAAACAAGATTTCAAGCTTGTTTTGGGTCCTTTCATGATGATTAAGCGGAGTTTGGAAAAATTCATGTCCAAAGGTAGTGTTTTGGAGTCTTCTAGACCCATTATAGTGCTAAGAAATGATCTTTGTCTTCCCTTTTGTGCTATGCAAGGATTTGGTTCCATTTTGGTCCCATTTTGATAGATTTAGAGTTAATGGTGTTTGAGACATGCAAATGGATAAAGATGGAAACTTTATCCATTATGACCATATTTCTTTATTTCTGTAATGTTAGAACCCTTGTCTTAAGGGTTAAGTACTTAATGTAAAGTTTGGAACCTGACTGAAAAATCGTGGCGTGACTAAAGATAGGCCGTGACACATAAGTTGAATGGGCTTCGTGACTACTTTGTCACCTAGTGATTGCGACACGACTAGGGGTTGGGTCACGGTGCGTTGACCGTTGACTTTTTTTGACACATTTGATTTTTGGTTAAACATTAATGGTTTTGAGTTGTATATTGAGGTTGGACCTCTTTTTGGTTTTGGTAGTTCATGTTAGCTAACTCGAGGAGTTGTGATTGGGAGGCTATGGTTGTTAGCATTATGCGAGTTTTTTGACGATACTATGTGTGACATTAGATGTCTTGGATTGATAGGTTGTCTTCGTGACATCTATATGAAAAATTATGGTTGGTCCATAACAATTGTATGAAAGACTATGGTTGATCATAACAATAGTATATATATATATATATATATATATATATATATATATATATATATATATATATATATATATATATATATATATAGGATCATAACAGTTGTATGAAAGACTATAGTTGGAAAATAATAGTTGAATGAAAAGTTATAGTTGGACTATAGCAGTTAAGACTATGGTTGGACCATAACATGCAAGACTATAATTGGATTGTAGCAACGTAAGTCAATGTAAGACTATGATTGGATCATAGCACTCACAAGGGTATGCAATATCTTGGGAATCACTAAGCTTTGTGCATCTCATTGAATTTAAATATTTTCAGGTTATTCTGGTAGCAAGGGGAAGATACGACCTGACTGTACCACATCCATGGATATGTTTTTGGTGACTTCCGTGGGCATGATTTTACTCTGATTTTGAACATGATGTGTCATGTTTTGAAACATATAGTTGAATTATTATACGTTAGGAAATAATTTTGAGATAATTAGTTTTATTTTAAAATAAAAAATTTGGTTGAATGATTCAGTTGCATTTTGTTATTAAGAACATATGGTCCAATATTATTCATATTACCGGCAACTAGTATATGTTAGTGAAACATACAATACTTGTCGAGACTCAGAACAAATCTGATGAAGTTTTGATGACCCTTGTTAGGAAGTAATGTGGGTAACTCATGAAACTAGAAGCACACAAAGACATAGTATTACGTGGTTCGGTCAAGGTGACCTACATCCACAGACAAAAGGGGAATATTCTTTATTCACAGAGTTCTTAAACAAAGATTATAAGCACAACTAGCAGAGAACCGCCCTGTTCACTAAGGATACAAAAGACAAGACAAATGACTTAACATGCATACCGATTCATACTTGAGGGATCAGACCTAAAACTGTCAGACCCCCAAACCGAAACGACGGAAACATTCGAGGGCGGAGGACATCATGTACATCACAACCATTGCATAATAGTAATCAAAGCAAACACAACCATTACATTGATAAAGTAAAGTATTTACATCTGTTCGATACATAGTTTGTATGACATCAAAAGTGTATAACAAAAGTATAAAAGACGCGACTCTAAAAGCTCCGTCTTCTCAAAACCTTCGGGTGTACCTGCCTTACCGGTTCCCTGAGAATACAAGTGATTTGAAAGTGTATCAACATTTAAGTTGGTGAGTTCATAAGTATATTTTAGTGATGGAAAACTTGTATTTATACTTTGAAAATGCTAGAATGTTTCTCCAGATAATCCAAATATTTCTTGTGGTGTATATAATGTAGTCTTAGGCCTTAAGACCAAAATATATGTTTTTACTGTACTCTTTAGTAGTGTAGGTAGTCTTATAGTAACTAAAACCTTATAATATATGTTTTCCTAATATGTATTTAATACTAGTTTACTCTATACTAGGAAAATAGTGTATCGTAGTAGTGTTCGTTATGAAAACTTGGATACCACCAGTAGTAGTGTATAGTAGTTTACTGTTTGTAAGAAAACATTTGTATAAATGACTGGATACCATCAGTTGTAGTGTAAAATAGAGTAATGTAGTTTTATTAATTAAAATAAAACTTTTGAAGTAGTGTTAATCGCATAAACAGATGTTTTAGTTTATACTGTTGTGAGTTTCATATAACCATGCTTGATATGACCTAGTGACCTCTACGACGTTCTTCAGGCATCTGAAAGTTATGACATTTGTCACCCCAGGCCTACCGGTCTAACTGTAGCTAGCAGTTCAGGTGTGGGATTGTCAGTCCCGTATAGATCTATACATAAATCTCACGCTCTCCCTCCAGGAGAGTCTGGTTATACTGTATAGGATTTAGCTTCGTACCCTGATGGATACAATTGAAGTAGTGCTTCACAACCCTATATTAACTAGTTTACGTGTAGTGTTGTAGTGTTGTCTTGTACTTAAAATTGTATGTATAATCTTTTGGTAGTGTAACTTGTAATGTAAAATAATTATAGTTAAATAATTATTTAGTAATGTATACTTGTATTAGGAAAATAGTGTAGCGTTCCATAAACTATATCTACCATAGTTTATATGTTTGCTTATTTCGAAATAGCGTTCTTGTACTTGCAAAATGGCGTAATGTATCCCAAACTATACCTATTATAGTTTGAATGTATGTTCTTTTTTCGTGTATTGAACTTAGTAATAGTGATGTAGTGTTCCCAAACTATACCGATTATAGTTTAAATGTATGTCCTGTACTACACTGAAAACTTTTGCAATTTAGTTGTATGAAGGAAAATACCCTTATGCTCGACATGTTACAAAAAGGTTAAACTATATGAATATTTTTATGAAATGTAGTGAATGCTCGGTTGAATCAACTGCAAAGGTTTTGAAACCGTTTGAAAGCATTTGTATAAAAACACAAAAGTCCTTGTGTTTTACTTGTATTCCCCCCCTAAAAACATTGAAAACAGTAAAAATGTAGGGGTATGAACTCACCTCTGTTACGTGTTCGTGATAGGATAGCGAGATTAAAGAGATGATCCTTGGGCTAACGTATGTGATAAGAACGGTATCCTAGAATTATTTAAACACGTAATCGTATTTAATTTAGTGAAATAGTGAATTAAGGTGTTAGATAACACTTGATTTATGTAAGGAATTTTTTGAAGGAATTACTGAAAATGGTTTGAAATGTTTAAGAGAGTTTTCGGTGAAGTCTCCACCAAAATCCTTGATTTCGGTCGTAATTCCTCAACCGAGGACCAGGTTCTCGGTCCTAAGGTGTTTTCGGTCAGGAATGAGTTTTCGGTCCAAGGTGTTTTCGGTTACTTGAAGTTTTGAAGGCTATTCTTGGTGTTCTTGGTGAAAAATATAAAGATATGAAGGTTTACTCTTGAAGGTATGAAGGTTCTTGGATGATACTTGAGGGAAGAATGGGAGTGTTTTCGAGTGAAAGAGTGAGTAAATGACTTATTTTTTGAGTGAAACTATATGTATCGGTTGGGTTCTCGGTCGGAAAGGTGGTTCTCGGCCGAGAACGGGTTTTCAGTTCGAAACTTGATTTCGGTGGGGGAGGTTTTCGGTTCCAAGGGAGAATGCCAATTTTTAAGTGCATTTTAATCCAAATAAAATAAATATTATTTAGATAATTAAATCACATTTAACCCTTATGAATTTAGTGAAATGAGTAAAACCTCGAATTTTATTTATAGCGGTTTAAACTTTTATTGACTAGAAAAATAATGGGTTGTTAGTTAGAGGGAATTTGTCCTGAAATTCTTTCTATAGTGAGTACATCATAGACTATGGAAAAAGATGCGGATACTTTTGTTGCATATGATCTTCTCACTCCCAAGTGAATTTAGGTCCCCACTTGACACTCTAGCGAACCTTCAATATCGATATGCAACTTTGTTTTGTTCGTTTGACTTCCCTGTCCATGATCTCTACTGGTTCTTACACAAAGTTAAGACTCTCGTTTATCTCGATTTCATCGAGTGGAATCACAAGAGTTTCGCCGGATAGACACTTCTTAAGGTTTGACACGTGACTCCTGCAACCAGATCGCCCTATAGTCTAAACATCTACAGAGATACAAGAACAGTCTGGACAACTTAGCGAACTACTCAGCAATGGAATGAGAAGACCAAGAATCTCACCTTTGAGGGCTCCGATCTTATTTTTCAAGAAGATAGACTTCAGCGGATGTGATCATACCAACGCTAATGCACCGGATCCCATCAGAACTCCGCAATTAAACGTGCTTAGGCGAGAGAAGTACTATGGTGGGTAACACCTTGGGAAGTCCTCGTGGTGCAGACCTCGACGGGACTTCCATTAGAAATCATTACCTTCTGCCTCACATAGATGAATTGGTTGATCAACCGCAATGAATGAAGTGCATTTCAGAAATGGACCTAAGATCTGAAAATCACCAGTTACGAGTGTTAGTGAAGGATGTCCCGAGTGCAATCTTCCGAACTCGATGCGGACGCTACGAATCCGTAGTGATTTCCCTCGAATAGGACCAATACGCCCGTAGTATTCATGAACTTACTGAATAGGTAAGAAGGAAATCATGAAGAGCATCTACAACAAACCATGGAAACATTACGATCAGAGAAGCGTTACGCGAAGTTCTCTAAATAATAGTTTTAGAATCGAAGAGTCGAATTCCTAAGACACACTATTAGTGATGTGAGAATTCTTGAGGACCCTTCCAATAATCAAAACCGTTGAGAAATTTTCAGCACCGAAGACGCCGACGAGAATTTTCCAAATTCTAGGTCTCGCCGACCTACTGTCGTAGTTCATCTAGAATCCCTCGTGAATTACGGAACCTCTTACGACTTTGGCCCAGAAAGGAGTGGCCCTTGACTGGGAAGAGAAAGAAGAAAAAGAAACCTTTGGGATTCCAAGTGAGAAGCCAAATCCTTTTGGAAGTCTCACTCTGGGAAGGCTTGATACACTTCTGAAAGCGTGGAGAGCTAGATCCAAGATAGTTAGGACCTCCGAGATTCTTGCCAGAATCGGTCCTGTAACTCACAAACCCAGCCTACACCGCGAACTCCGTAACGTACATTTTACCCTTCACGTCTCAAACTTGAAAACGTACCTTTCCGTCAGGACTCTCGAAATCCCACTCGACGAGATTGAGATCAACGAGATCCTCGCCTTCGTGGAAGAACCGTAGTGACCATCGATCGAAAGGTCAAGCGGACGAAGCAACGCGCCACCCATTAGTGAAGGTTCGTTAGGATACCAACTGAGGACCCGAATCCACTTGTGAGCGCGAGAACCAATCGATTAGGAAGTACCCCCACTTCTTGTCTCGATTATTCATGCCTACTCCGGTACCTAAATCCTAATTTCGGGACGAAATTCCTTCTAACGGGGGGATGATGTGACAACCCGAAATTTTATTCTGTATAAAATTTCAATTCAATAGAAGTCAGAATAGTTTCTGCTAACTTTCAAGCTTTTTGGAATAAGTTTGAGTCCTTTTAAGTTAGTACTTTAGGAGATATCAAGAGAGAGGATGCCTTAGGGTTTATTGTACATCATTAAAGTTCCAAAAAATCCAAGAGTTTGGAGTTTACGGCCCAAATGGAATTTGAACCGTAAACTCCATGGAGTATATATATGTCACTTAGCCATTTTTACTTCATTTCTTCCATTTATACAAGAGAAAACCCGATTTCTCTCCCAAGGATCTTTAAGCTTTCATCCCAAATTGTAAGTACTTCTACCCTAGAGTGTATTAAAGCTTATTACATGTCCATATATCCAGGAAATCACTAATGAATCACAAGAACAAAGTGTTTACGGCCCAAGATCTTCTTAGGCTGTAAACCC